TGGGAGTAGGTACCTGTCAAAAACAAGTACCCGCTCCCCAAATGTGGCAGCAGAGGAGGGGAGGAGGCAGAACAGCAGAGCTACCACTTTTGGGTGGAACTCCGCTTTAATCACTACTAAATAATTGCTAATGTCAGCATGGTATACCTAGCGGTTAAATTGCTAGAGTCGCTAGGCGATTGGCTACAGCATTGGATTGTACTCTGTTACTAGTCAATCTTCTTCAGCAATTAGTAGCTAAATATCAATTTCTATGACAACATTTCATGAAAAGCATTAAAAGCAATTGTCGCTAATTATTTGCCGCCAAACTGAAGCGCCGATAAGCCTCAATCACTGAGCCACATAGTGTCAAATCACTTTAAAAGTTTCACTGTTAGCGATCCTATAGAAAATTATTGGGGGGGGTGGGGGTATAGTGGTCGCTGCAAGAAAATCGCCCGTATGTCATCAGCCCAGTGCTGTCTTTATTATTTTGCAGGGTGTATCTGCAGGATTAGAGAAAGTTTAAAAAAACCCATTAGAGTCATGTGTTGCTTGTTAGATTTACAGACATATTGCAGATTCCATAAAATGTCATTCTCAGGCCAAATGAGGAGGGCCAAGAAATATAGACATTTTCTGGCGTTGATGAAACTGGCAGATTCTGATGACAGCTCAAACATAGAGCCAGTATCTGGATAGAGCTTAGCGATGTGCCATTAATGTTAGCAGAGATTTGCAACATTGTGATTAGAAAGATATTTTGTTGCCTTTTGCCAACAATCAGAGGCATTTACCAATCATACTGCACGCTGTTGTGCCACATGACTCCCACATGAAGCGTTGGATGAGGATGTATTGAATACAACAGAAAAATATATACAGTCTACCAGAGATGAGATCTTTTTTTATGAGATTTGTGTGAGTGGAATTCTTATATTTCATTTAATTTCAGGTACTTATATAGCGCTGTCAATTTACGCAGCGCTTTACATATATATTGTACATTCACATCAGTCCCTAACCCTCAAGGGGCATACAATCTAAGGTCCCTAACTCACATATACTAGAGCCAATTTAGATAGGATCCAATTCACCTACCAGCATGTCTTTGGAGTGTGGGAGGAAACTGGAGTACCCAGAGGAAACCCATGCAGGCACAGGGAGAACATGCAAACTCCAGGCGGGGGGTGCCGTGGTTGGGATTCAAACAAACGACCCTAATACTACCAGGCGGAAGTGCTAACCATTTAGCCACTGTGCTGCCCTACATATTTAAGTATATAGTTACATTTTGTGTCCCATTCAAGAAAATAGGGTTGCAGCATGGTGGTGTGTTCTTTTGGTGGTTAAAGCAGCCAACATAATACCACCTCACTGCCTGTCAAATGCCCTCTCAAAAGCAATCCACCATGGATTGTTCTTCATAGGGCTATTGATAGTATAAATATTATTAAAGTCTTAAACTGTTGTAAATACTAAAAAATACCCATTGATTCTGCCAGTAATTTAAGCTGGCCATACACATGTAGATTTTCTGACGAGATTATTCGTATGAAAAGTCGTACGAAAATTATTTGAACATTGGATGAATGGACGAATGTCGTTTCAAAATTGACTTACTTTTAACATTTGAGTTTAAAACTAATGTAATTTCTGAACGATAACAACATATGCTGGCCAAAAATTTGTTTGATCAAGAAATGTTTTCCCTCCTGCCCCTTCGAATTTTCCTGTCACTGCAGTCAAAAGCAAGCATCAATTTGACCCCACTAACAATTAGAAAATCAAACGATAATTCTTGAAACTAAAATTCTTGAACGAAAATCTATACGTGTATGGCCAGCTTTAGTGTACTTTTAAGCAGGGACGGACTGACCCGAGGACCCGGGGTCAGTACGGGGCCCCATGAAATGCCCCTGATACCTCCTTGTGGGCTTTTTTGGGTATGCTTTGAGTGTAGGCAAGGACACAGGGGCCCCATGATCCCCTATTGCCCGGGGGCCCCATGAGTTGTCAGTCCGCCCCTGCTCCTAAGATTGCATTCACACCTGGACAGAGAAATTTAATCTCCAAACACAGAAATGTTTCTTCACAGTGAGAGCTGTGAACATGTGGAATAGACTCCCTCAAGATTTGGTTCTGGCCATCTCAGTGGATTGCTTCAAAAAAGTCCTGGATTCTTTCTTAGATACACAGAATATAATGGATACTAACATTTATAGGTAAAGTTGATCCAGGGAATATCCGATTGCCTCTCGGGGATCAGGAAGGAATTTTTTTCCCCTGCAGGAGCAAATTGGATCATGGATCATCAATATACTTTTTTTTTCTATGGTTGAACTGGAAGGATTTTTGTCTTTTTTCAGCCAGACTAACTATGTAACTATGTAAGAGTGTAATTCTGAAAACTTTTTTTTTCAGGTATTTTAAAAGTGTTTTTTGCCATGTATTAAGCTTCAGGTGTTTGTTTCCTGGGCTGGGCAAGGGGAGGAAAGCAGTTCTATAGGACAAAAGGACCTCTTCTGCTGTAAAAAACACATTGATAGCTATCTTACAGGCATTCCCATTGATATCTCTATCACCAAAGTGCCTAAATGTGCTAACAAAAAAAGCTCATGTACATTTTGGATGTAGAGCAGAAGGCGACTGAGCAAACATACGAGAACAGGGACAATTTAATAAGAATGAGATTCTTCATGTTGAGCAAAGTCAACCTTCTGGTTTTAGCTTACAATGCAAAGTGGTTGATTTACGAAAGGCAAATGGGCTGTTTACTTTGCAAGGTAAGTTGCACTTTGCCAGGGAATTATCCCCAGAGGTTAGTAATTGTGCAAGAAAAATGCTATTTATATTTTATTTTCTAGGTACATGATTAGGTATTCTTTGTAAAGTGGGATTTCACCACACCAAAAATTGAAGCACCAGGCAAATAACTGCGCTGCAAGGAGCAGGTCTTGAACCTAAGGATGTCTTGATACATAAATACTGCATTGTCAGTGTTTCAAATGATTTGTGCTGATTTTTTAAAAAGATCTGCAGAGAATAACCTTCCTACAAGTTAGAAAATCATTTTCAGCTATATCTCTATAGTGTGTCTTCAGTTTTTGCTTTTGTAATTTGGAAGTCACAATTTTAATTCAGGGCAGCACAGTAGTTAGGTGGTCAGCACTTCCACCTGGCAGTACCAGGGTCGTTGGTTTGAATCCCAACCACAGCACCACCTGCCTGAGTTTGCATGTTCTGCCTGTGTGGGTTTTTCTCCAGGTACTCTGGTTTCCTCCCATACTCTAAGACATGCTGGTAGGTGAATTGCCTCCTTTATAAATTGGCCCTAGTATGTGTATGTGCGTTAGGGACCTTAGACTGTACACCCCTTGAGGGTTAGGGACAGATACAAATGTACAATATACATGTAAAGCACTGCGTAAATTGACGGTGCTACATAAGTACGTGTAATAAATTTTAAAAATAAATAAATGTTCACAAAATATTTTCCTTGCGCCAACATGGCATCATACTACCACATGTCTGCTGCCTAGGAAAAATGTTGCTAAATATTTGATACAATTTTCCATTTTTTGACACCATAATGTGTCTGTTTTAAGCTCTCCACCTTATCATTCTGCTTTCCTTATCATCATGACTTCTGTGACATCATGGAAGATGAGTTTTTCTTCTTTCAGTTGTGCTCAGCTGTAAGATCCTGAAAATCAGGAGGGGCCACACATAAGGGCCCCAACTTTTTTTCAACATGTCTTTTGTTTGTTGGAGGTATGAAAAACCTATACTGTAAACAGTAAGCATTTTTCCTGAGGGTGCACTAGTTTTATCGGCTTAGTTTTGCCTCCACTGGTTTCTCCCTGCCTCCCTTTCATCTACACTGAAGTTACAGTGAGATGTTTAAATAAAACCTTTTCTCTTTCTGGCATATCCCATTATAGACCCAGTGATGTCATTACTGGGCTTCTGTGCTTTCATATGCAAGGCAAGGAGATCCTGGCTTGTGGGAAGGCCTGATAGGGTGAGAACATTATAGCACCCTTCCTCAGTACACCTCTCAACCCTGAGAGCAAACCCCAAGCAAATATTAAAAGGCTTTGATGGGTGAATGTCAGTCTGGAGAAGTGGAAGTTTCTAAGCAGACTGAATTTACATGCAACTTGCCTCGGTAGCATCCACATCCTGAACCTCCATGACTGAAAGAACAAAATCCAATGAGTAAAAGGTGCAGCCCAACAACAGCCTTGCTGAAGAGGCAAATACTAGATGATACTTGATGTCTTCACCCAGGAAATGAGGCAGGCTTTACCTAACTTGCTGCAGCTTCTGATGCACACCCTGATAAGTTCACAGTGTGCAATGTAAGCAGAATAGGTGATTTCAGTGCAATAGGAACCTGTACATCTGTGCAGGACTAACGGTAAAGCTGGAGTAGGCTCCATGCACACTAGAGTTTCTTTTAGGTTCAAAAAACACTGGTAATAGTATTTTTAGTAGCGTTCAGAAGCGTTTAAGAGCAGTAGCATTTTATTAGCATTTTACAGTACATGTAGTGGGGGAAAAAAGCTAGAAAGCTGTTAAGAGTGTTTAGTAGCATTTAGTGTTTTTTTCTGCTGGAAAAACGCTCCCAAAAAACTACTAAAATGCTAAATGTTCCTAAATGCTGCTAAATGCTACTAAAATGCTCCTAACAGCTTTTACTAGCTTTTTTTCTACATGTACTGTAAAAACACAAAAAATGCCAACACTCCTAAAAGCTTCTAAAATGCTACTAAAACTCTACTTTTAAAAACGCTATTACCAGCATTTTTATCCAGTGTTTGCTTTTTTTCTCCAGTGTTGTTGGAGCTTAAAAAAAACGCTAGTGTGCATGGAGCCTTAAACAATGAGAAGGATAGTCCGATGTAATAACCCAAATCATATGTGGTTGAATGGTGGCAGTTACAGAGGGCTCAGCAAAAATATTGGATCTTAATATGCTGTAGACAGAAAATTCACTCTACCTCTCATTTCAGGTTTGGTTCCAAAACAGACGTGCAAAAGAAAAACGGCTAAAAAAGGACGCAGGGCGGCAGCGCTGGGGACAGTTCTATAAGAGCGTCAGGAAAACCCGTGTAGGGAAGCCTGGGAAGGAAAGCTCTGCAGAAGATTGTGGAGTTAGTGACAGTGAACTAAGCTACAGAGGTAACTATGAAGTCATTCCTTATCTATAGAGCTGTATGGGATCCATGCTTAGGACAGCTTTGTGTGTCCTTACAGGCTACAAGGCTTTCCAAGAAAGTGTAATCCATGGCAAGCAGAAGTCATCTTTTAATTGATCTGAGTGCAGAAAACTGCAATGGGAATTGCTATAGGTTCTTGTATTGTGTACATTGTCATTGCTTTCTCTACTGTCTGATAATAAAAAAACAGAAAAACCTTTATTTAAATATTCAAAGAACAATGTGCTGTACCCAATCAATTATCCTCTTTCATAGGGCTGACTACACTGAACTGTTAGAAGTGGATCTCTGGGTATTATAATGTGAGCTATTGCACCCCAAAACTTTTTAGTTGGCCACATATGTTGAACTCTGTACAATCTTTATACTTACTCCATGCATGAACATACACAGCCTACAACACATAAATTGGTCCCAGATGTTAAATGCACCAAGGACATATCTAATGTGCTTGGTGCTGCAATGGGGCCTAAATGCGGGTCTACCATCTGCAAGAAGAATACCCTTGCATATGTTTTTTGGATGAATACGTGAATAGGTAGGCGCTAAAATATATCATAAGACAAAAATAGTTTTCTATCAGTGACATAAAATAAATAGTCCCAGACAGAATATAATGAATAGTGACCATATATTGAGTGACAGTCCCATGGAAATGTAGTCCTGTAGGTCAAGAATTTTCTTTTTTACCACGTGTAAACAATAAGTAAATTTCTCACTCACTACAATCTTTATATTTACTCCATGCATGAACATACACAGCCTACAACCCATAAATTGGTCCCAGATGTTAAATGCACCAAGGACATATCTAATGTGCTTGGTGCTGCAATGGGGCCTACATGTGGGTCTACCATCTGCAAGAAGAATACCATTGAATATTGTTTTTGGATGAATACGTAAATAGTTAGGTGCTAAAATATATCATAAGACAAAAATAGAGTTTTCTTTCAGTGACATAAAATAAATAATAGTCCCAGACAGAATATAATGAATAGTGAACATATATTGAGTGACAGTGCCATGGAAATGTAGTCCCGTAGGTCAATAATTTTCTTTTTTACCACGTGTACACAATAAGTAAATTTCTCACTCACTACAATCTTTATACTTACTCCATGCATGAATATACACATCCTACAACCCATAAATTGGTCCCAGATGTTAAATGTACCAAGGACATATCTAATGTGCTCGGTACTGCAATGGGGCCTACATGTGGGTCTACCATCTGCAAGAAGAATTCCCTTGCATATGTTTTTTGGATGAATACGTGAATAGGTAGGCGCTAAAATATATCATAAGACAAAAATAGTTATCTATCAGTGACATAAAATAAATAGTCCGGACAGAATATAATGAATAGTGAACATATATTGCATGACAGTCCCATGGAAATGTAGTGCCGTAGGTCAAGAATTTTCTTTTTTACCACGTGTAAACAATAAGTACATTTTTCACTCACTACAATCTTTATACTTACTCCATGCATGAACATACACAGCCTACAACACATAAATTGGTCCCAGATGTTAAATGCACCAAGGACATATCTAATGTGCTTGGTGCTGCAATGGGGCCTACATGTGGGTCTACCATCTGCAAGAATACCATTGCATATTTTTTTTGGATGAATACGTAAATAGGTAGGCGCTAAAAATATATCATAAGACAAAAATAGAGTTTTTTTTCAGTGACATAAAATAAATAATAGTCCCGGACAGAATATAATGAACAGTGAAGATATATTGAGTGACAGTCCCATGGAAATGTAGTCCCGTAGGTCAAGAATTTTCTTTTTCACTACGTGTAAACAATAAGTAAATTTCTCACTTACCAGACTTATTGACCCCATTTAAGGTAGTCAAATGGCGCTTTGTAATCATAAATGTTGACAACCAGCAGCAAGCTCTCCTGAATCAGGCTTCCTGGTCTCCTAATATGGGATATGGATCTAGGGGGTCAAAGATGACTGCCCCCAGTTAAGTGATCACAAGACTCTGGATACACAGATAGAGGACGGATTTCTAATCCCAGGCTCTCCTCAAAATGAAGATATTGCTCCAAGCAGCTCATAAAACATTTCTCCTGCCTCACAGGTGCCGATGATTTGAATGAATTATGAAGCCCCTTTTTCACATACGTTTTTTAGACTTGAAGCCAAACTCCAGGCAAAAATGAAATTTAAATAGTAATTAAAAAAACTAAAAGGGGTGGGCAGGGGATGTAAAGCCGGGGAAGGAAGCAGTAGCTTCTAATGCACACCATGATAAGCTCACAGTGTGCAGTGAAATCAAAATAAGCAGTTTCAGGACAGGAGATTGTACAACAGTACAAGACTAAAGGTCTAGAGTTCATATTTAAAATTTACCAGCAAATGTGAAGAGAAAGGCTTACTCTTACGTAATTTTATTGATATCCAGTAAGGTAGGGCCTCACACCACATAGTTGTTGGTAAGTGCAAAGTATTTGAACAATCAAATCTTACTGTTTGTGACCAATGCTACACTGGAATCTTGTGTGGCCTGTCCATGGATCAAATCATTGGGGATCCTAGAAATGTGTCTGGTTTCTAGGACTGTCAAAACACGGCTAGATACATCTCTTTGAAATTCTTTGTTCCTTAGGTTATGATATGACATGTATAACATTAAACTGGCCAACCCATTCTCCCATAATGCCTGTGGTTGGCTAAAAATCAAGACCAGTAACAGCTGGAATGCAGAATGAGTCCTTCATTTAAAAAAGTGCAAAGCAATTCACCAAGGCGAAAAGTTACAGTGAATTATGGCAGTGCATGCTGTGTTGTTATGAAATATAGTGCATTGTAATGAACTTTGTATTTGTCAGCCGGTTTGCTGGGCTGCTAGAAAGTTGTAGGTACGACAGAGCTGACAGCCATCGGTAGTTACAGCTTCCTCTCCATCTCCAGTAAATACCTGAGTAGTATTCCCTGCAGTCCATTTGTCAAACACGGCCGTGAACTAGGCAATTGATCAAATAAATAAGAACGGCGAAGCGGCATTAATCATACCTCTAGTTCAGCCATCAACTGGTTTATGATGATTTTTGGTGTGTGTGGAATATTAAGCAGCTTATAATTCAAACTGGTTGCCTATTATTTGATATCAGACTAATTTCTTCATTATATCTATGTTTTAGTGTTCTATAAAGAAGAACGTTAAAGGGGGACTTGTAATGTTTAATGGGACACTAAGGCTACACTGGAATTTAACACAACTTAGCATAAGCAATATTTTGGCTTTGGGAAACCCTTTTTTATTGGCTTATGTTTATAAATAGCCGTTCTTTTTCTGTAGAGATCTGATATTTTAAAGGAAATCTGTCATGAGGGCAACATGAAGCTTCTATTGCTCGATTTTTATTTTAAAAATGATGGTAGCCTGGCTGGCATGCTAATCATCTTGCTTTAGTAGAGATTCCCTAAAATGGAACAAGTATCCAGATATGGAGCCCTGAATTTACTCTGATTTTTTCAGAAGGAGATCAGTAATGACCCCCCCCCCCATATTTTTCTCATGATAAGTTTACTTTAATGCTTGGTGGACACTGATAGGTTAAAGCATCTGATGATGCTTTATATCTCACAGGGACCTCCGAGGATATCTTTCTCTTCATGGCTTCACTGTTATATCATGGCTATTAGGCTTCATGCACACTGGTGCTCTTCTAAACGCTTTTCTCCTGGCAGGAGAAAAACAACTATAACAGCTTCTAAGCCGTGCTCTTTCAAACGCGTTTAGGTGCTTCAAACACTTCAGTGTTTATTAATTTAATTGGCATTAAAATTAATTATTATTCAGGACAAGAGGTGCTAGAGGTTCCAAGATGTCACGCTTGTAGCATTGTCTGTAAAAAAAATGGAAAATACTCTAGTAGATTAGTCTTATTGGATGGACAGAGCTAGAATGTCAGTAATCTTCACACATTGAACAGAGCCCCCACAAGATATACACTATATTGCCAACAGTATTGGTCAGCCTGCCTTTACAGGCACATGAACTTTAATGGCATCCCAGTCTTAGTCCGTATAGTTCAATATTGAGTTGGTCCACCCTTTGCTGATATAACAGCTTCAACTCTTCTGGGAAGGCTGTCCACAAGGTCTAGGAGTGTGTCTATGGGAATGTTTGTCCATTCTTCCAGAAGCGCATTTGTGAGGTCAGGCACTGATGTTGGACAAGTAGGCCTGGCTCACAGTCTCCGCTCTAATTCATCCCAAAGGTGTTCTATCGAGTTGAGGTCAGGACTCTGTGCAGGCCAGTCAAGTTCATCCATCCCAAACTTACTCATCCATGTCTTTAAGGATCTTGCTTTGTGCACTGGTGTGCAGTCATGTTGGAACAGGAAGGAGCAATCCCCAAACTGTTCCCACAAAGTTGGGAGCATGAAATTGTCCAAAATGTCTTGGTATGCTGACGCTTTAAGTGTTCCCTTCACTGGAACTAAGGGGCCAAGCCCACCCCCTGAAAAACAACCCCACACCATAATCCCCCCCTCCACCAAACTTTACACCTGGCACAATGCAGTCAGGCAAGTACTGTTCTCCTGGCAAACGCCAAACCCAGACACATCCATCTGATTGCCAGACAGAGAAGTGGGATTCATCACTCCAGAGAACAAGTCTTCACTAGAGTCCAGTGGCGGCGTGCTTTACACCACTGCATCCGACGCTTTGTATTGCACTTGGTGATGTAAGGCTTGGATGCAGCTGCTCAGCCATGGAAACCCATTCCATGAAGCTCTCTACGCACTGTTGTTGTGCTAATTTGAAGGCCACATGAAGTTTGGAGGTCTTTAGCTATTGACTCTGCAGACAGTTGGTGACTTCTGAGCACTGTGCGCTTCAGCATGCTACGCTGACCCCGCTCTGTTATTTTATGTGGCCTACCATTTCATGACTGAGTTGCTGTTGTTCCCAGTTGCTTCCACTTTGTTATT